AGCGTCTTCGAAGCATCGACACATGTTCTGGCATGTCAAGTACAGGAAGACTATGTCTCCACTTCAAGAGTATTGGTACCATCTAACAGATGACCAATTGATGAATGAGTACATTGCCAGACACAAGGATCAAAATCCACAACTAGAACTACAAGAACTCAATCAGCACATTGAATATGGTTGTAGTGATCCTAGGATGCATCCTCTTCATCAAGACAAGGCAGAATCATCCTCAAAAGAAGCAGAAAGGAGGATTGATGACGATTTTGGAAATCTCACCAAGGTACTCCAAGATTACGTTGAGGACCACAAGGTCTTGCCTTACTGTATGATCTTGCATAGCTTGGCTTACAGATATTTAGGTGGAGGCCTATCAGACCCAACGTACAAGGATGCCGAATTTCCATACAGATCCTCTCCACAGATAACAGCAATGTTTTGGAATTTGGGAAACTGGTGCAGAAACAGATTTGAAAAATGCCCGGTTCCAGAAAAGATTTCAACAATTCATTCCACACATTGACTACACTATTGATGAGGATCATGAAAAATTTGATGAAAACAAATCACAGTTCAACAATTACTTCATCAATGTCATCAAGAACTTTGGAGGACATCTTTTCATGAATTGCGAGGCTGGTTCATTGTATCCTCACAGAGAGAGACTCGACGAGGTTGACTTTAAAACTTGCTTCAATGACTATCATGACTTGATGGTGGCCGCTCGCCTTGGAAAGGATGGCTATATCAAGCAAATTGCTGGATATCACACAGATGACAACGACACACGAGTTCGACAAGTCTCATGGGCAATCTTTGAAGTATCTTGGGGAAAGACAAAGGACCGAGATACAGATGAGATTGTTGACTTGACAAGAGCTAGGATGAGGATGACACGTGTGTGCGTTTATCACGTCGGACAGAAGTATGCATCAGACTCTCCTGGTATTGTTGGTGAATGTTTAGCTGTTATGGCTTTTGAGTGTGCCAGATATCAAGTTGACTTCATCGCAGGTGATGGAAACAAGGCATGCTATTATACCACACCAAAATCTCCAGGTGTCCCTACATACCAACACAGCCTGATCCAATTTTGGATTAACAGAATGGTGGGTGTTGCAACACAAGCCATGCGCAAGTATTTTGATTCATCTTGCCCTCCAATCAGGGTCAAGCATTTCATTTCTTGCAGTTATCGTGACTTGGATTTTCTTGCAACGCACTTGGATGGCATTACAGCAGCAACATACACCGACGAGCTCATGAACAAGACAAATGGTAAAGGTGACTGCTGTATGTTAACAGTTGTTGAGTGGGGTCATTCGCGCTTGATGTGTCAGGAACACCTAGATGACTTTGAAGGTGATGAAGATCGCATGAACTATGTGGGTGAATTTTACTTCAAGGTAAATGAAACTTGCTTACGTGGTGATCACAACATCTTCATGGTTGCCCCAAATCATCGTGATGCTCATAATCCGATTCTTATTCATCTTGATCCTTCTGATATGTCATGGAACGAACGACATCATTACAAACATTCCTTCAAGAAGAAGCAGTATGCAGATACAAGGAAGGAAAGACAGAAGGAGAAAAAGAGAAAGGCATATGAAGATCAAGCATCAACGTATCAGGGCAACGCGAGTTGGGGTGGATCCTCATCCTCTTCGTCCAGACCATGGAGAACAAGCTTTTGGCTATAAGTGAGTGTACACTTCTTTAAATGAAGATAACACAGCATGAGAGGCAGTGTACAGTTTTCTGTGCATCAACTTATTTCACACAGATGGCATATACTCTTTTAGATAGAGATAATGCCACAAGTGTCTGAACTTCAATTTAATGTAAAATAGATACTCTTGTAAATAGAGATACTATACACATTTATCTCCATGGACCATCCTGCGAGCAGACCACTCCGAATGGAGCGAACTCCAAAAATTACCAACTTCGATTTCAGTCCATTGTTTGCTTGAATGAGCAACTTTGGAGATCCGCTATTTCCGTTTATTTCGTGATTTGGTCAATTGTTTTCGTATGACCTGAATTTCTGAATCTTGCGAACCCGAAACTTTTCAATTCGAACTTTCACCGGTAGAGCAAGGCATTTTGCCTATGGAGAGACCGTGCGCGAAGCACCATTGGTCGCTACTGGAAAAATTAGCGAATCCGCTGTTCTTTTTCGACATGTCCTTAGGACATTCGCTGCTTTCACGTGTTTCAATTCGAAGCCACTGCGTAACTCTGGTTTATTTTGCTATTTGCCATTGTGTAGAGAAGTCAGGAAGATACTCTTAATACCAATTGGGTACGGCAAGGCGTAGTGCTCTACCCATTGCTTTTGAATTTGTGCCTGTGTTTTTGTTTCGACCTAATACCTACCAGGTACTATGCATGAGTATTGAGCACATTTATATGCGCCCTTCAAGGCTCAAGAGGTATATAGAGTAACCCTGTAAACATAGCACTGACCGGCAACAGGCTGAGTAAAAGAGTGCTGTCATTGGGGAAGACGCCTTAGCTGATCTTGAAGTAGACGCTAGGGCCCCTCTTCAGCCCTCCCCCCAACCCCCCCTCCCGCTTTTTTGATCTTAATTCAAGTTTGCACACTTGTGAATACACTTCTCTACACACACACATATATTTATATTTTGTATATATTCATGTGAATCTGTTTAGTTTTATGTACACCCACGTAACTATAGTTATTTTCATGTACGTGCTGTATCCCTACATGAACCTTAAATAAATCCTAAACGGAGCCGAAACCAACCCTACAGAAACCTTTAACCAATGCTAAATAGACCTTAACTAACCCTAAATAAACCTTAAAAAAACCCTGAACCAACCCAAAGTGAACCTTAAACCAACGCGAAATAAATTTCAAACTAAAACCTACAGATGTCTTAAGCCAGCACAATGACAACATCCAGTGGAACCTTTACAGCCAACACAGTTCTGCCTCAACCTACATTCTAGATGTTCACAAGATGCATGTTGTGCAGAACAAGCACCCTGAAAACCATGTAAAATCATTGAAACCATGGAAAAATCAATAAGGTATTCATGTATAATTAAATGCATCCATATAAGTATAGTTATTTAAATGTACATGTTGTATCCCTAAATAAACCCTAAACAAACCCTAAACGTAACCTAAACCAACCCTAAAGAAACCTGCAACCAACCTTAAATAGACCCTAAAGTAGCACCAGACACCCCTGAATATCATATGTAATCTACAGCATTTCACGGGAGAACAGGTATAGTCATTCTGCTTTGGGTGGAGGCGCTGCGCCCTCCCCCCAATTCCCCCCCTCCCGCTTTTTTATCTTAATCCAACTTTGCACACTTGTAAACACACTACTCTACCCATATGTATATATATATATATATGTATTATGTATGTATGTATTCATTTAAATCTATTTAGGTTTACTTACACCTACGCAACTATACGCATTTATATGTACAGTTTGTGTCCCTAAACAAACGCTAAATAGATCGTAATCTAACCCTAAAAAATCTGAAATAGAACCGAAATCAACCCTAAAGAGACCCTTAACTAACCTTAGATGAACCATAAACAAACCCTAAACTAACGCAAAATGAACCCTAAACCAACCCAAAATAAACCTTAAACCAAAACCGAAAGATGTCTTAAACCAGCACATGACGTCATCCAGTGAAACTTTACAGCCAACACAGTTCTGCGTCAACTTACATTCTAGATGTTAACAAGATGCATGTTGTGCCGAAAATGCACCTTGAGCATCATGTAAAATCAATGAAAAACATGGAAAAAATGATGAAAACCATGGAAAAAAACATTTTGTGGTCTGACCCATTGACACCAGTTTTGCGCTCGGAAAAAAAGGGATGCTTTGCATGTGATGTGTAGCGTTGGCCCTGAATAATTTTATTTTGATGCGCTTTCGAGCAGCTTGATCTCCCCTAGGCCCTAGCCTCGGGGGATCAAGAAAAAATATTTCCAGATCAAAAAAAATTAAACCTAACCTACCACTAAATTTAGATGAAATAGACAATATTTTTTAAAAATCCTAGTGGTTTAATTTTTTTTGATCTGGAAAAAAAAACTAATCCTCCACTCGACTCGAGGAGCCCCTGTGGAAGCGGTTCAGAGGGGACTTATCCTTGCGGTGCACAGGCCCCAATGTGATGACCCAATGGGCATATCAAGATGAGGTTGTTCCAGATGAAACTATTCCAGAGGAAAAGTGCAAAGAGATCCTGGCAGAGAATGATGACTTCATGGTCATTGTTCCACCCCCAGAAGCAACAGCCAGGATCCGTGTTCTGGAGCGGGAATTTTCCTTGGATCATGCGGATTGCCTGCGAGGGCACCCCATGCACCTTGCTATGGCACCTGACGAGTGGGCAGACTTTTCTGGAGTCCTTGTGAACGAGGCTGATGCTCACAAATCAATATACAACCTACTGAAAAAGGGGTCAGAGACCCAGGCCCTCATTTGCTGTGTCGAAAAGGGTAGTGGATGCATTCGGGGCTACCTGCGAATGAGTTATGGCGTGGGAGAAACAGTGACCCTTCAACATTTAAAGGTGCAGCGAGAACACCAGCGTCGGGGCATAGCCACCTTGATGCTCGAAGGTGGTTTGCGCCTGGCACGCGAACACCATGAGTGGCCCTTCAAGCAAATCAGCTTGAAGGTGTTCTTGCGGAATCAAAAGGCATTGGCCTTCTATGAGAGAATGGGATTTCAACACTCGAGGCCCCTCCCAAAGCGGCCAAAATCAGCTCTGGCTGAGTGGAGCCTGATGAAGAAGGAGATTTAAGGTGCCACAACTACTTTCAATGCGAACGGAGTCTCACTTGATTTGAAACAGGAAGCCGGAAGCCAACGGAAAATATGCACGATTATGCTATGCATATTCAACGCAGTCTTGCGTGCATATCCTTTTTTCATGGGGACTAGCCACTGGATTTGAGGTTACCTGGTTGCCATTGGTTACCGCCCAAGGTCTGTGTCAACTCGACTTAGTGTCAGGATTCGAGCCGCTTGGCATCTTTGCGACGTCATTAATTATGATCGTGCGGAACTGGGGATGGATTAAAACCTCTTAAGATCATATTTCTGCACAATTTAGAGCGAGGGCTGACGAGGTACGAGGTGAATCTTTGCAATTTAAGCGAGGTGAATTAATTAAATTCAGAAAACGAGGTGGGCAGAAATTGCTTTCAAAGCATGTGCAACGAGTGAAAAAAAACTTTTCGGGCTCCAGAAAGTTTTTTTGTTCCCATCAGAGTGAAAAAAAATAGAAAATTAAGGGTGCATTCAGACCCGTGAAAAAAAACTTTCTGGAGCCCGAAAAGTTTTTTTTAATCGTAATTCAGTCAGTGCCCTGTGGTGGCATGCCCGGTTGTTCCAGGACTTCCGTATTTGTTCTACAGTGAAACCACTGTTTAAGAACCCACTGCATTAAGAACCTCAGGGGCTGGATTGCTGGATTCAACTCTGTCTACCAGCTAATTGAAATAAGAACCCTAGGGAACCTTGAAATTTTGGTCAATAGTTCTTATTCACCTTTCCCAGGTAGCGCGACTAGATTCTAAAATTGCTAAAGCTTGAGGTGTAGCGGGGTATCTTGGTGCTGCTGCTGCAGCTTCTCTTCTCTGGGGTCGAATTTGGGGGGAATCGAGCCCCTGCAAATCCGCTTGTAAAAGAGGCATCTCGGAAACAGAAAAAACTTTTTAGGCACTGAAAAGTTTTTTCAGTATCCCCAAGCCTCTGGAGCCCAGAGCGTTGCTGCAACGACGACAAAGATAATTCAAAAAAGTTCAACCCAAAAGGAGGCAGAGGACTAGTTCGAATGGCTTGCGGTCGAGAAAGAAATGGGACGAGGGCTGAAATCCGTTTTGAATGTAACGAGGCGAGGACTGAAGATTTAATCAGAGGGGGAAAGTAGATTTAAGACGAGGAAACCGTTTTGAATTTAAAGTAAATTTTGCAGATATTTGATCATGCTACATTTTGGGGGATGAACATCCACAACTGCCACATATTTTGGAGCAAAAGAGTACCAGGGCTGTGACCCATAGCCAAATCCTGAAGTTGCGTGTTGTATATTTTGTTGTGCTGATGAAACATCAACGCAAAAGCCAATGAACAGATATCATACGAGGAATGAACTCAATCGCAAGTCCCAAACTAATTTGGCTGGAGAGGGATGTCGCAGCAAGAGATTCAATCGTCCTGCTGTTGCAATGAGGCTGCAGATGGAAAAGAAGAGGCCTCCAAACTATGAGCAAATCATAGCGATACATGTTGCGCGTTGGGCGAAGAGTTGGATGTTTCAAACACTTCAAAGTGAAAGTGCTTGAAGTCAAGTACATAGTTACAACATGTTACAACATGTTACAACATATTACACAAGTTACAACACATGTTACAATACACGTTCACCTGAGTGGAAGACATTTTCAGAAGGATCTCCATGAACATCCCATGCCGCCTATGCCGTACCTGATTTGCCAGGTATATCACTTGGGAAGAGTGATCCTGCGCGAGGATCCTCGCAAGGTAACAGCTGCGAAAGCATCCGACGAACGTGCCAAGAGTAGAAGTTTTTCTCCCAGTCTTCGCTTGAACTCTGGAGCGTTTCTTGTTCAGCCATTGGATGCTAAAGAATAATAGTGGACGAAGGTTTTTTGAAGTTTTCAGCCGCGTTTTTTTCTAAATATAGACAACAGAATCAATGGAACTGCCGCCAGATTGCTTGAAATTCTTTTGCTTGGGATCGTATTTGGATTTTGTCTCTTTATCATTCTTTATCATTCTTTATCATTCTTTATCATTCTTTATCCCTAATGGATGCTTGTGGCAGAAGATGTTTAGAAGGTTTTATTACCATTAGTTATTTAACATAGCCATGGAAAATCATCCTTTTTTATAGGTACACCATCTATAAATGGGCCATTTCCCATGGCTATGTTACATAACCAGAGGGTATGCGTTCTATATTCTGATCTATGTTGCTGCCTGTGTCTCCAAGGTCGAAGCCCAAAACGGGAAGCTCTAGGTGCCAGAGCTGGGAAATGCAACCAAATCCGAGCCGTTTGACTTTCCCCTTTATGGAAATATAGGGAAACAATCCAAAGAAAAATCAGACTGAGGCCTCGAAATAAAATGAAATAAGTTCATGCAAAGCTTCTCTTTGAAGGTGCATTTACCCTGAAGACAAAACCTCCAGACAGGAAGGAGGAAGTTTGATTTTCTTCTCCACTCGAAATCGGAAAGTCAATCACTCTCCCGAAAGAGCGTTTCTCTCGCAACCGGACACATCCTAAATGATTTGTCTATTTAATCTGCACTCTTGCTAGGCCGTTCAAACTCTCCGGATCTGACTCGAAGCCGTGGACAGTCACGAGATGAAATGTTGGACGAACCTCGGTGACAGTTTAGTGAAGCATCGCAATGTCCCAATCTTTTCTTCCGCTCATTGCGTCATTTCCAAGCATTTTGGGCCAAAGGAGCTCCGTGCAAAGCAACGGGAACGAGCTGTCTGCAGTTTGCGCCTGAGTGTCGCAAGTAATTACTCCAGACATTGGGTTGTGGCTTTGAGCTTCCAACTGCGCACAGGTACAGGCAAGGACTACCACAAAAAGCCCATTGGCCAAGCTGGCATCATTTTTTTTACAAAGTGCAGACAACATGGATTTTGCCGGCTGGTTTGCGCCAGGTTTCATGTCTGGTCTCGCCATGAAACGGGATGTGGGCCAAGCATCGACACGTCTTCGCGAGGAAGAAACCTATGCACCTCGTCAGGCTGGACGTTGAGCCCACCCTTGCGACATGGCAATGGAAGAGTCATCGATGGTTATCACATTCATCCCATCCCTTTAATATTAAACAACCCCCAAGAACCATGGTTTAGTATGGGTTAGTAGGGTATTAACACATTGACATATTTGGGACCAGTGAGCGGGTGTTTATTAGGGGACATGGATTGGAATTAGAATCATAGATGCTTGTGGAAATGACAGGTGGAACACCGACAGAAGATGCCTGATAGCGAGATGTTGCTGGGACGTCCGGAGAGCGAGTTTGATGCTAAGATGGACCGAGCATTGGAGATTTTCCGATGTATTAGACCATATTGGACCAAATCAGGGAGTATCAGGCCCTTTATGCTCCATGACGTTTATTGATGGCTCAAATGATGTTTATTGATTTCAAATGATGTTTATTGAATCTGATTGATGTTTAAAGTTTAATGATGTTTTAATAGTTTGCAATATGCATTCATGATCCTATAAACTTTATGCCGGAAATGCCTTTCTAATTAACCAAGGCGAGACAGGGAGAAAGAGCTCCTTAAGCAGCAGCTCTTCGAAAAGCCCATGACTCAGACGGCAATCACTTCGTGCGCTTCGTTGAACTTCGTTGCATCGTTGGACCGAGGTATGGCAACATCAATCCCAGAGCGGCCACGAAGGCAGGGTAGCCATAGGTAGCCGGGTAGCTGGAAGATGCTGGAAGGATCAACCAGCAGTTGAATGGTAAACATTGGTAGACCAGGAAGAAAAGAACCATTGAGGATATTTAGGCAATTTTAGGCATCAAATGCGGGTCAAGCATGGTCAAGCGATTGTTGGCTTACTAGAGCAACAGGTCAATATGTCAATATGTCAAATTCAGCGATGCCATTGATGTGGAATGATGTGGATATTTCTTGGATCTTCCTGGTGCTAGTGTTCTGCCTCCACAGATGTCACAGAAGTGGCATCATATATGAATATGATTGAATATGAATATGAAGTATCGAAGCATAGGCAAATAGGTTCCTTGACACGAGCAAGAAATGCAACGATTGAAGGATGTTTTTGAAGGACTATCCAGATTGCCTTTTACGAGAAACAGACGGATTTTGTAGGAACAGCCTCCAGCTGACCCTGAAGCATTGCGCTCAGCTTTCACATTCAACCGACAGAGAGTGGATTCATTCTTGGAACCGGCGAGTGTGCTCGGTTTGGTGAGTACAAATGCCAAGATTGAGAATCTGCTGAAAGAGAATATGAAAAAGAGTTGACAAGAATCATCAAGAATCTGTGGGTTCTCAAGCATTTCCACTAAGTAATCTCCTTTTCACGGTTTGTCGAAAGTGTTCCTGTGATTTCCTGTGGGGTCAAGGTGTGCTTCTTAATAGATTCTGCAACCTGTGCAACGTGGATCCCAGGAAACTGATCGACTCCGTCTTGGCTGAACGCGTGAAATCTGCAGAGTCCAGACAGAGCAAAAGCGCAGATTCAGTTGCAATTACCTGGCATTTACCTGGCATTTATATGCATGGAATGCATTGGATTGCTATAGATTCAAGATGATTCAAGGCTTGTTTTGACACCTGCTAAATCCTTCTGATTTGACTTGCCTGACTCCTGTGGCTCAACACTCTTCCACTCTGGAGAAGGAGAAACCCATGTCATAAACGATAGTGAACACAGAAGAGGCTTCGATTGTCTAGGTCGTCCACAGAGATAATTCATGATCGATAGGTCATAAAGAGCCACACTTCAGAACTTCAGACTTGTGCCTACGAGTCATACAGTTCAATAATGTTCAATAGAGATAAGAGACATAAAGAGACAAGACAAGATGACTTGATTTTGTTGTCATCAAGGCCATGGATCGATGATCATGGCATGTACAGGGCGGCTTCCAAATCGACAAGCTGACCTATGAGTCTTGATGGTGCAGGTGGCTTGGAAAGCAGAGAGGATGTGGCCCATACCTCGCCATACCTCGCCCATGCCGTCCAGCATTCCCCGTTTTTCGGACCTGGATTGAGGTGAAATTTCCAGGGAGGCACAATGCATCAAGGAAGTGGTGTACTCGTTGATCAATGCCAAGGGAACATCATCAACACAGCTGCAGCTGGCCATCAACTCCTCATTGAATTCCAGCTGCATTCTGCCTTTTTCATCCGTTTTCCAGTTCGCAGAAGAGCTTTCAAGTTGGAGTGACCTTAGAGCAAGCAAGATCAAAGATAACTATAATATCCTATAATAGTCGTAGCGCCTCTAGTATCTTTAGTGGCATACGCACTTTCCATGACTTTCCATGTCACGAAGATACCAACTGGTTCCGTTGTCATGCCACTTGCCATCCTTGTTGAGGATGCAATTGGCCAAGACAAATTTTGACTTTGTCACCACGGCGGTGTTCTCGGCGCTGGAGAATCAGAATGCCTCAGACCAACAGAAGCTTTTTGCCGGAAAATCACACGATGCAGTAGGAGACTTGATTTTTCAAAAGTATGGAACACTGTGGAACAAAGATTCTTTCTGGGACCCAATTTCAAATGTCAAACATTTGATTCATTTTGATGTTGGATGCCATTTTGCTTGCAGCTGGATTGCAGCCCATCTTCAGCATTGTGACAATGTCCAGCAGTCTAAAATCTGTTGAGGTTGCAGCTCCTCCGCCTCCTGTGTCAAGTCTTGGAGCAACGAGAGCCTAGAAGTTTGGTGGTGCCTCGAACACTTGCAAAGAATATGACAAGGCCGGAGACAAACAGGTTCTGTGCTTGATTCAGGAGGAATCAGATATGCAGCAACTGTGTACTTATCATGTTATCATTGTACTTATCATAATTATATTATGCTAAAAAATGCTATATATATATATATTACATGAATTAAACATCTAAAACCAAATGATTTTCACAGTTCATGTAGCTCTTGGGCAGCTGAGCCACCAGAGGCTGCTGCTTGCATCACCGGGCTCAGCCTCAGCAGACGTCCTTTGCGAACTAGCGCCTATGCACCCTGATTTGGCACGGGCACCTGGAGGGGAACTCTGTGGATTCTCTCAGGTTTCTTTTCGAATCCTCCAATATGTATAATATATTATATTAATATATACACATATATTATGTGCAAACATACACAGTACATATTAGTTTAACTTCCCCACAGCCGTGCGTCCATCCGTTGATCCATCCGTTGATCCGTTGATCGCCAGGTCTTGAGTGAGATTTCCCAGCATCTCGCTGCCGAGATGCCCAGCTTTGCTCTGGAGCTATTGGCCCAGGCAGTTTCAACGGAGAACATTTGGTTGGTCGCGGTAAAATTGATGCAGATTGGGGATAGACATGGATAGACTATCTCCAGACAATTACCAAAATATTCAAGTTATTGAAGCATCAACCAGCAAATTATAGCCTGTGCAATTGTGTCCAAATTTATGCATGTCATGTCATGCATGTAGACGGGGAAGAAAGCAGCAGTGTCCATCAGGCAAGAGACAACATAATTGCAGTCAAGTACATGATGCTTTTCTTGGTAACATTCCAGTCTTTAGCGGAAGTTTGGAACCTGACAAGGATCTTCAGTTCACAGAGCAAGCACATCATGGCCCATAGGTTGCTGAAACCTCACCGCACAGCCTTTCTGAGCGCCTGAACGAGGTGCTTGATCGTTGGATGGACTGTGCCATATGAAACAGTGGGGGTGCAAAGTACAAAGCGCCAAAAAGTATATATAGACATGATCACAATTCGTACGTAGATATAATATGTGAATCAGATACCCTCACTTGGGGCCTAGATTGGGTATACCTTGGCATATGATTGTCCAACGGTCTGAAATTCTTCAGGAGGCATTGTAGACCTTTGTCTTGCGGGCATTGTGGACCCTGTACGTGTAGGGTAACTGCTAGAAACTGTTAACATGAACTTAGATAAATCTACAGCATCTTCAGTATCAATCTTCTTGGATGGCAGGATGTGACTTTGGTCTCTTCACAGCCTGACTTTCGGCCGGATGTTCAACCAGATACACAGTTCGACATCACTTTTTAGATGTCGCTTTGTTGTTTTGATCTTTTCTATTAAAGACTAAAAAAGGATAAGCTGTGGGTTCCCCACATACATACTACATGATGTGTCCAATGTGACATGATGTAACATGGTAGTGTATCTAATACACACAAGTTGCATAATATCATGGGATGACATGGCTGACTATCATTGCACAATCAGACATCAGAGTTTAGATGGATAGTCTCAAGCGATTTTGCCCAGGTGCTATCCAGGTGCTTCAGCTTGCTACAGGGCTGTCGCGTGATGGATCTTCGGCTTCTGCTGCTGCGTGTCTGGGCACAGCTTGGATCGGGTGATGATAGGAGAAAAGTTCCATGTCTACCGTCTTTCAGACTTTGGAAAACATGCGCAAGTTCCCAACGGCCACAAAAAGCGGAGTGTAATTGCATCATTTGAAATTTGCATGTGCTTCTGGAGTGTTTGGACTGGACAGATGCAAAAGTAGGGATGTGGAAAGAAGATGGCCATTAGCTCCAAAGCATTTCAGGGCAGTGTGCATGTGGTCCCGCAAACTCATGTGAGCGCACAGATCTGAATGATTGCTGAGATTTGCCGTTTTTTTGACCAAGCTAGCTTGGCATATTTGGCATAAATATATATTATATATATGAATATCATCAAATACTGTCCTCACAATTTGGGGATGCTCTGGAAATTCTTTCCTCGCTGAGGAACATGGTGCTCGCTTTGCAGCCCAGCTTCATGTGGATTTGGACCTAGTAATACCAGGAATACATAAGTTCTGTTGGACACGGAACTTTTACTATCTTTATTGAAATAGATTTGTTGAGTGATTGGATGTTTCACAGCAAGAGTCAGCAAGTGTTAAAAGAGTAGGTTCTTGTCAAAGATGTTTTGTTGCAAAACTGCGTGTGTCCTTGCTTCTTTGCTGCATCAAGAAGCCAAGCAGTCGAAGAGCAGGTATTGCAATCGTCATGTGCTCCTTTCGAGATATCGATCCTTTGGATGCAGGCAGTTTCTTCTGTTCCATACATTTCTGGAAAATGCAGTGAAGATGATTTGGTGGTAAGATCTCAGGTCCTGGTGCTCATCTGAGAATACACATGAATAGACACTGTATATTGATGTATCTCAACAAAGACAAACAGTTGATCAGACATTGCCGTATGGGAGCATGTCAGGCCATCCCAATTTTTCCCGGCAATTTGCGATTGCCGCCGCCCCCATGCGGTCAAGGCAAACTGCAGCAGGGATGCCCAAGAGACAGATGTGTGGCAAGGTAGCCGTGTTTCATTTCTGTTGACGGTTTTGTGTTGGTGAAGCAATGCTTCAGGGCACTCTTCCAGACCCAAGATGTGGGCAGCATTCAACGCGCCGTATGCATGTGCATCGTGTATTCTATGATTTCTATATAGTTGGATTATGTTCGAAGGAAGTTTAGAAGTCAAACTTCCGACAATATGGACAGATGAAAAGCAGAG